ACACGCACACGCACACGCACACGCACACGCACACGCACACGCACACGCACACGCACACGCACACGCACACGCACACGCACACGCACACGCTCCTTCTGGGACCTGCAGCCACAGCAGAGTGCCTCAGTGCTGAAGCTTCAGTCTGAAGGGGGAACAGTCTTCACCTGAAGAAGAAAGCAATGAGATTCAATTAAACTGGCACACTCACTGTTTTTTTGGGACAGACAACAGGAAATAAGCAAAAGTTTCTATTCATACAAGAGCCTAGGCACTTGAATAAAACTCCCCTAATTTTCCCCCATCCAAACCTGGCGATTTAAGTTTCTGCTAGGTTCTGCTAGGATTTAAAACTGATAAATATTAACCTCAAATTGGGAAACTGGAAATCTGAGGAAAAAATCATTCATTCCATCTTATTTCCAAAAGTTTGAAGTTCCCTCGCACATTTGTTTCATTCCAGTTAAGAGAAGAACTGAAAACTTTTAAAGCTTTTCTTAGATAAAGTCTTGCTTAGCTCATTAAACAGGAAAAGGAATGGAGCCTGGCTTCTGACATAGGAAGGAATGGAAGAAATGTCAGGTAAACAGGAAGCCAGCCTGTGTCAGACTCGATGAACAATTGGAGGGGAGGAAGGGAGTTGCCTGCTCCTAACACTTACTGAAACACTACTTTAACTGCTTCAGGAATGAGGATTACTTACAAAAACAAACTAGTCCCATTAGAACTCTTCAGAAGTTAACATTACATGCAATAACGGAGTACACGGATACCAGTTTGCTCATCAAACTATTTCACAAAAGCAGCAGAACTCCAGCAAACAAGATTAAATGGCTGAATTCTCTAATAAGTCTCTAATAATTTCTGGTGGAATGAGGTCCCGCTTCTATAAAAAAAGGGGACCGAATCAGAGATCAGAGAGTGGTGTTTCAGGGGTTACAAGTAGAATCAGGTCACAGAGCTTATCAAATTGGTTTCTGGAGATATAGCAAGTTATCACTGCCTTGAAAAAGGCTCACCATTCTGGAGCAAGTAAAAGATTCACTTGATTGCTGTGGCAAGCACTATTTCCAACTGAGGCACTAAATTGACAGGTTTCTATAGAGTGTGAAAGGCAAAAGGCACAGACTTGGCAAAACTTAGCATTTTGTTTCCCCTTCAGCACTATTTGCTCAGGGTGGAATATTTACTCTATGACTCGGATAACGAGTTCTTGTAATGTATTCTGAACAGAGAAGTGAACAAACTGGAATGGTGGTGACCTGCACCATATTCAACATCGCTGATATAACCACTGCAGATGAACAGTAGCGTCAAAGGCATTGCCAAGGGTTAATGACTGAAACAGAATTAAGTCGTTAACAATTTTACATAGTTCAGCAGCCTAACAAGACCACCCACATTCTGCCACTCGTCGTTCTGACCAGTTAAAGATGTATGATGTTTAGGCATCGTGTTCTAAATTAAGCTTACTGTGTTTTTCACTTATTATATCAGAACCGCACATGGCATCCAGCCTCAAAACAAGTTTTACTACAACACTGGACTTCTTCTGTTTCATATTTACAGCGAGAACAACGTGTGTGGTTGTACCCCACAATAAGGCCTTAATCACAGAAGCCTGGAGCAGCGCATTCCTGCTTCCCCAGTGACATCCTTGGTTTAACTTCATTTTTTCCCTTTCTAAAGAGTAATATACCCAGGGAATACTAGGGGAACTTTATAACTCTTTACTACACCTGGACCTTGAATACAAGTAGGGGAAATACTGATCCGCATTACTTAGATCAATATTATAAAAGCCTACTGTATATATAAAAAGACAGACTAAGGCAGATATCCATTTGGCTTTACAGAACAGACTTTCAAGAAGTATGCACACAGCGTCATATGTGTTTAGAGGATCATCGGTTCTTATACTGATTATGTGCTTATGACCACCTCTTCACTATCAATATTAAAACCGCCAGATAACGCACTTTTTTTCCCCAAAAATCTTTTCAGCACAATCATTTACTTCTAAAATATATGACCAAGATTGGATTTGGAAGGTTCTAAATATGGTCTAAAGTTGTGTAACAAACTATGATATCCATCCACAGTTCTAACCACTTCATAAAGATATTTTCACTGTGGTTTCTTTTTTCTCTGTAATTATTACAGCACATAAGGCCAGGATTTTTTTTTTTTACACATTTACCATCATAGAGTGCAATTTAACAACATCTGGATGGAAATGTATAACTTAGCAGTCTCTGCAAGTCAAACGATAACATTTCAGTTGTGCTTTCATTTTCCACTGAAGAAAAAAAAAAAGTCACTTCAAATTAAAAGGTAACCAAAATAAAGGTTTCATATTAACTACTTAGGAAAGTACTATAGCTTCAGTTCTGGTTCTGAAATTCTTGATCAGCACGCAAGATTTGCATAATAACCACATCAGATGGTATGAGTCTGTTCCTTCATTTCCTGCAGGGGTGTTATCTGTGTTGGCTGCAACTTCATAGAACTTTGCTCTTGCAGAAAACAATGGCTTTTTTCCGCCATACTCACCAATTAAAAAAAAGAATTGTATAAAGTTAAGATTTTGCTTTGCTGGGAGGGAGCTATTGATTAAAAGTTTCCTACACACACACACAAACAGAACAATGTTTGGAGCTGCCCCGGCAATTAACATACCTGTATTTCACATCAAAGAGCGTAGAATCTTCATCCTCGTCGTTCTCCTCGTTTAGCGGAGCCATTTCCACCCGCTCAGCCGGAGTGGTGATGATGTCGTACTTTCTCGTCTTCCTGATCTTCCGCCCCGCTCTTTTGGTATGGTAAAGATAATAAAAACATTTTTTTAAAAAACTTCACAACACAAGGAGACGTGTGCTACGACATTACTGAAGGAAGCAACGCAGGCTTGAAATACACAGAGGAGTGGTATAATGGTGATGCTGCGTTTTGGAGGCAAGAATGTAAATGAATCCTACTGGAGTTAAAAACCATGGACCATGACTTGCCTTTCAATGAGGTAGCAACACGTTTTCGTCATGTACATTTAAAATAGCTGGCGCTGCTGAAAAGAGGCAGCGTTCAACAGAGGTTAAAAGCAAAGATTAATGCATTTCTGGTGCCGTCACAGCTGTCCAAAGAGCATTAACGTCAAGCAATCGGGTTTCTGTGCCTTTCTCCTGTGTATAGTGGTGGTGTAGACTCCTGCGGCACTTCTGTTTTAAAAGCGAAGTCATGGAAACAGAAGCACTTTGAGAAATTGTCAGACGTTTGCGTTATTAAAAGGCACCAATGCATGTTGCAGGCACAGCTGTTATTTTAGCTCCTTCAAAACAGTTTAAGTCATGCAAATGAAGATGGGGGTACATATGGAAAAAATACCTGCAGACTTCATCAAAAAAATCAAGTTTGATCCCTACTGCGACTTACCTGAACACTTTGATAACCAAGCAAGCGATGAGGAACACCGTGAAACCACAAACGAAAATGACAATATTTTTCAGCTTGGGAAGATCCTTCAGGATAGACGAGACGCGGGACTGTATGGTCAACCCCGAGTCCGTGCTGTTGATGACATTCTGGATGGGGGCTGTGGATGAATTCTGCGGCGCTGTGGGCGACGACAGGGCGGGCAGCACCGCTGACACCCCACACGCAACCGCAAGCAGAAAGGTGCACACCACATGCAACCGAGACATGCTGCCTTACACAGCACACCCCTCTTTTTAGGGACTAGAGGAACCGAGGCTCTGTCTCCCAATCCTCAGATCCCTGAACTTTCTATTTGTGTCCTTGCTTGGCGTCTTCAGTTATAGGATGGAAATGCGCCTCCGCCGACTTACTAGTTCAAATAAAATGCCCGCTCCCCTCTCACACGCAGTTGTCATTCATGAAATTCCCTTGCAAGCTGCAGCTCAGTATACCCCTCGAAAGATGCAGGCTTATATCGAGAGAGGACCGTCATTTCGTTTTCATCCTCGGGCTCCGCAGCTCATCTGATAATTGTTGTCCCTGAAATCTCGCTGCAGCGGTTTTTGCTGGCTCGCATGACACGATTCCGCAGGCAAGTCCTTCCTAGTTGTTTTATTGGGAGTGGGTGTTAATAGGAGGAAACGTGGATTACCCAAACCCGGAAGAGTTTGTCACCGACGTTGCAATCAGCTATTTGGCGGCCACCACAAAAGGCGTCTCTTTTATATTGGACTCCCAGCCTGTGACAGCTTGAGGAAGCTCCTCCGCCCCCGCCTAGGTCACTTTAACTAATCTCTTCACTGTTGGCATAGGGATATGTGCGGTGTTTAGTGTGAAGCACGGCTTCTAGTGTTGGGAATGTCAAATTTAACATTCTTAACTGCGCCTGATAAAGACCCCCCCCTGGCCTTTCAGAAAGAAATGTGAATAACCAAGGGGAAGACTACAGAAGGTTGAGAGTGGACTCGGGGGCACGTTGAAGAATGAGCTTCAGTGCTGCACGGCGATCTAGTCGACAGTTTTCTTGATTGTTTTGTTAATTAAATCAGCCGCTTTATTGTAGTCTAACGCTCAACCAGCGCGGAACGTTTTTTGAAAAACACGGAGTGTTGCTGCTTATTTCTCAAGATTAAAGGGACGTCTTCCTCTATTTCATCAGAATTAATCAATTTCTGTTTGTAATTTACTGATAATGTCAAATGTCCTTTCTACTGGTAATCCGTAAATGTGTCATCCTGAACGCACTGGAATTCGTTTCAAAGTAAATTTGATTTGCATTCTAAAATATAATTCACCTGCTCCATCATCATCATTAGTAGCAGCAGCATTGCTGGAATGAACATCGCCACAGGAGTCTCAGAATCTTGTTTTCATGTGGCCTCATCCATCTTGTTCTGAAAGGTATTACCAAAGGTATGAGCTACTAAACAGACAAGGAAGCACTGAATGACCTCCTCTCAGTTTCAACTGTTCTTATAAATCGAAATGTTTGCAACCCAGCCTCCAAGGTTTTACTGTGGGTCTGAAAGGAGGCCATTTAGTCTATCAAGCAGAGTGAGCAGCTCATTGATCCAAGGATCTTATATACCATCTCTTCTTTCCATAAATGGCTAGTTATCAGCTTCAACAATTTTGATCAGTAGATTGTTCCATACTAACAGAAACATTTCAATAACACAAGATTGAAATTGTATGTATCAGACATACTAACACGTTTGTAACAGGACTGAAATCTGATGGGTTTCTGTCTCAATCCAGCTGCTTATTGTTCATAGTACAGTATATGAGACAGATGTCCCTTTTGACTGGGGACCTTTTAATATTTTGTCCTTTGAATGTATACCTTGCTGTAAGTTGTCATATAAAGGATATATCTATATTTTGATGCATACATATGAATATAAATGGAACCCATCTTTTAAAATCCATCTCATTTCATATAGGCCCAAGGATGTTGTAAATATTCCTAATTGTGTTTCTGAATTTCTTTCTTGCTTTTTTTGTTAATTGCTGTTCTACATTATGTGTCTCGACTCTTAAATGTTTATTGTGACAAAACTGAGATGTCCCTCTAGTGAAAAAAATAATTCTCTTCCACTGAGGAGTTTTTATTAACAAATTTGTGGTGTTTCATGGGACAGTAGGATTTGTTTGTGTCATTTTAAAATGTATTGGTATAAACTTAAAAACCGGAACTATCTTCACTTTCAAAGGCAGCCATCAAAATAATACAGTAAAACAGAGGAACAGCAAAGATAAGTGCATAAAGCATATAACAGGGTAAGTGATAAGTAGGTGATTAAAGAACAAGAAAGGTTATATCACTACTCCCTTCAGAAACTAGATAAGCGTTTGTAACATAAACTGCTAGCAGAAAAGCAGAAAAATTCATTTGACCAGTTTTAACTCTAAAAAGAAAGATGAAACACCAAAACCTCATATAATAAATCTGTTTATTATAAGTTTAGAATATCAAGAGGAAGCATGACCCAGTGATAACTGTGCAGTCAATAGTTATATAGTTTATTTTAATAGCTTATTTCTTCTTCTGTTCTTTAAAACATGGATTCCCCAATTAAAGGACAAAAGCCAGGTCACAGCGTTATATAAGACGTAATTCCGTAGAACCTATCATTTTCATTTGACCTAAAAAGCTGGTTAATTTTTAAAAACATTTTAAAAACATATGAAAACAAATGTGGATAAATGTTTTATGTATAATCTGTCCTTTTTCAGGTAAGGAAAATCAGTAGTTTTAAGTAGTTGTTATCTATATTTAACTAATAATAGATAATAATTCATTATACTTACAGTATATAGCGCTTTTTCAGACACTCCACTCAAAGCACTTTATAGGTAATGGGGATCCCCTCCACCTCCACAGTATATAGCTCCACCTGGATGATTTGACAGCAGCCATAGTGCTCCAGTACTCTCCCCACATACCAGCTCTCAGTGGGGAAGAAGAACAGAACAGAAGCCAGTTCATAGATGGGGATTATTAGGAGGCCATGATTGGTAAAGGCCAGGAGCAAATTTGGATAGCAAATTAGTCAGGACCTCAGTTTAACATCTCATCCAACAGTATAGTGTCCCCATTACTATACTAGGGCTTTAGGACTCACAGACCATAGGGTGAGCACCCCCTACTGGTCCCACTAACACCTCTTCCAGCACCAACCTTAGTTTTCCCAGGAGTCTCCCATCCAGATACTGCCCAGGCTCACACCTGCTGAGCATCAAGGAGTTGCAGGGTGATAATACTGCTGGCTACAACTAAGTAATAATAAACTAGATAGAACTGTGTATGTTACTGTAAACTGTATGTTACTGTATACAGTTACCATAATACTTTCCTGAGCATGCATAAATCAAAAACATTATTATGTTTTCTTTAGTTAAGTATTAATGACCATTATATTTGGATAGACCACAACAGGCCTATTGTTTTGGTGTAATACAGTATATATCTATGACTTCTTAGTTCATTATCAAGAAAATACGTTTTTCTGAAACAGTTGTATTTCTGAAGGATTTCTTATGTTGTTTCATTCGATAATTCACATTTTCTATTCTTCTTTTCCATCAAATCATCAATTGTCACAGCCTTTATAATTGATTTTAAGCCTCTAACAGACATTTTCAGGGATGGATCTCAATGCAAAAAATGTTTGTATTCCGATAACACCACTAGATGGAGCAGTTAACCTAACTTTACCTCTGCAGTAACTGTAAACCTCAGTTTGCACAGTATGATGTATACAATTTGAAAAGAATGTTGATGTAATCTCAGTAAGTGGCATTTTCAGAGCAGACACCTGCAATGCATACATACACTTGCCTTAACCTCGCTCAGAAAATGAAGCAGAACTTAATAAAGAGTAAACTTCTTTTTGGTGTTATTCCAGTTATAAACCTAATTCTAAACCTTCTCTGATTTATGGGATTATTCATGAACTAAATATGTAAAAACTTTGCCAAGATAAACAGGAAGGTACAACTGTAAACAGAATAAGGAATTTTAGACTTTTTAGATTTTGTTTTTCATTTTATCTCAAAGTTTTTTTTTTATTACAGCGTGTTTTACCTCCAGTTTGTGCCTTCTGTGTTCATTTCTCTCATAACCTAAAAGAACAATTTAAGATGTGACATTATCCTTTTTGATTGAAATGTAGATATCAACATATAAATGCTACACACACAACACCTGGTCATTTTAAGCAGGGATAGCATAAGCAACTGAGATTGTTCATGATGTTATGTACTGTACTTACGTAAAAGTAACTTACATAACTGTTACACTTTCTATTCTGTTACTAGTTTCTATTCTTTTTCATGGACAATTTGTTCTAATTTTACAGGGCATTATCTGTAAAGCTGATAAAGATCTGAATGCTGGGTTTATCTCCTTTTTTATCCTGCTTTCTAAAAATAGTCATTTGAAAACACAGCTCAGAAAGCAGAATAAATCTCACAGAACTTGTTCCAGGAAATAAGTTGAGGGTGTGCTGTACCAGACATAACCACATGTAAACATAAAGCCACAATACGTTTTAAGCCACAGGCGAGAAAAATACACACTATCTTTGTAATTACTAATGGAAATTGTTTTGCAAAACAGAAAATGCCATTATATTTCTTTTTTTCAAGACAAATGACTACTCCACACACTATTTGAATGATACATTGGAATCAGAATAATGCTGTATTTCTTAGCTTATTTTGTACCTGTGCCTGAAATAGTCCTTGATACTGACTTTACCACTTAGCAAACTTCTTATGTATTTGTTGCAAACTAAAAAAAACTAATTCGATGAATTGTACATGAATAGCTTTATCTCAACTACCTGTTTTGTGCTAAATTGTATTGCTGTACAACGAAACACATTTCTGACAGTTACTGTATGATACAAGACTTATTATACATATACAGTATGTGTTTACTTTAAAGATACAACATTTATTTACCTGTTTATCTGCCAAAAAATGTAGTTATTTTCTTTTTGTGGCCAGTGTACCATATCCTATAATACAGATAATAAAATCCTCTTATCAATGCAAGACCTGTTACCTTGGCAACTGTTGATTTGTTATCAGTCAGATATTTAAAAAAATTGCATCTTCTGGTTTCATGAAAGCTCACAGACAACTAAAGCAGATCGTTTGGATTTTTGTGTGAGGTGAAAGACACAATGAATTGCTTTTTTCAGCGTTCCAATGTTATGAAGAAAGAATGTATTTGAGATGATTTTTGCCTGTCTGCAGATATGCTGCGTGAAGTGATGTTATTGCTGTTTTTGTTTTCAAAAGAATGCCCACAGTCCAAGGAAAAGCAAGATCCTTTTAAATTAATTATCTGTATTATACATAAATAATTTAGATATTTCACAAATATATACTTTCTATGTAACAGGCAACAAAACTCATGCAGTCCTGTTATTGAATCCTTCATTCAATTTTACTCCTGTTGAGATAGATTAATTATTGCCTATAAAATCACATGATATAACATAAAATGATTAAGTTGAAGAAAATATCCTGAAAATATCCACAAAAATATTTTAGATTGTATAATTAAATTATTATTATTAGAGACTGCAGTTTGGCAGCAGTTTTTTTAATGGAGAGTAATATTAAAAAGTAATAAAATAATGCTTTCAAATGAGCTTCCAGGTATTAAGGTAAAACATCTTACTGTAAACACTAAACTCTGACAATGTGTATGTGATTCCTTAGCA